GGGGTGCCGGCCTTGGGGGTGCCGCTCAGGTCGAACACGGACCCGTCGTACAGGCCCCGTGGCACCGCCTGCACCTCCGACATCTGCAACGGCAGAGCATGTAGCTGTGAGCGCTGCGGCCCCCCATGCGCGGCCATGACCGCCATGGCCCCCCGCATGCAGCTGTGACTGCGATGTCCCCTTGTCCCCCTGCCAAGTGTGCAGCTGTGACCGCAATGGCCCCCGAGCGGTGGCCATCCCTCAGCCCCCTCAGCGCACCGTCATGACTGTAACACCTCTGGCCCCCAAACACAGGGCTGTGACAGGGATGTCCCCTTGCCCCTCCGAGCGTGCGACCGTGACCGCAATGGCCCCCAAGCACAATGTGACCGTGACAGTCCATCAGCCTCTGCCCAGTTTGGGGCATGGCCTCCCTCCAGCGCCAGAGCGTGGGCAGGCTCCATGCAGAACCCGCCCCCGGCACTTCTGCTGCGTGGATGGGATGAGGAGGAGGTTGTTTCCTGCCCCTCTCCAAGTTTTTACATTAAGCTCTTCCCTGCAGGCTCTGCAGCAGCAGAGCAACAACCAGGAGCTAGAGGACAGGCATGAGTCGCTGTTCACCCCGTCGAGCCTCCTGCCTCTGATGGTGGAGAATGAACAAAACGGAGGGCAAATGTTCAGAGAGCCCCAGTGCCAGCGTGGGATGCCCAGACTCACAGCCCCAGCTCCAGGGTGCAGAGACCCAGCCAGCGGGCAGGGAAAGGGCAGCTCCGGGATGCGGAGCCTGGCCGCCCCCGCGCAGCCCCCGCTCACCTTCCTGCGTGCCTGGATGCGCTTGTAGACATAGTCGGGGAAGGGGCTGCTGGGCAGGAAGCGTCCCGTCCCCTGTGTCACATGCAGGTTGCCATCCTCCAGCACGATCTTCCCCTGGCAAATAACGACCAGCGGGGCCCCGCGCAGCTCCATCCCTTCAAAGATGTTGTATTCGGCCACCTGCCGCAAGTGGGTGACACTGGTCAGGAGGGCGTGAGCAGGGCTGGGCTGGAAGGCCTGTCCCCGTGGGCCGCGCTGCCCCCAGCCCGCGCTGCTGCAGTCAACGTGCACACAGGAAGCCCATGAGAGCCTCTCCAGCCCCACAGGCCACCTCGGGTTCACTGCTCCATCACACCAAGGACCCTCCAGACCCTTGACATGAACGAGGACCTGCTACCTCAGAGCTCCGTAGCAGCAAGGCCGCGAACAACAAGGGCTGTCTGTCCCGGGCTGGCTGCAAGGCATGAGTGCAGTCTGCTGGCCAGGCCAGGAGGCATTTCCATGTGGAAGGGAAACCCACATAAAGATGAACATGTCATTACACCTGTGTGATTCAAGGTCACCAGAGCGCCGTGGCTGGATGAGACCTGCGCTGGGCGCAGACATTCGGCCCACAGCCGCAGCCCTCCCCGGAGCTCCGCTGTGAACAACCAGGGCAGCCTTTACTCAGGGCTCCTCGGCACCCCCGCCCTCGCAGGTGTAAGCAGAGGACTTACAGATTGGTGGTTTTTCGCTGTGACAATCTTCACCGCATCAGGATCCCATATAACCAGATCGCTGTCTGAGCCCACAGCTATTCTCCCCTTCCGTGGGTAGAGGTTGAAGATTTTCGCAGCATTAGTGCTCGTCACTGCCACAAACTGATTTTCATCCATCTTTCCTGTGGCCTGCTCAAACACAACAGACATGAAGCAGTCTCTGGGAAAAGACCCACCCTAGGAAGCACCGTGCTCACAGTCGAACACAAGGTACCAACTAGTCTGGCCCAGAGTCAGCATCACTTACTACCTTCAGACAGACAGACCAGCGGAGATGTAAGGGGACAGGGACTTGCTGGAGCAGCGTTGGGGCAGGGACTGCGGACCAGGGCTCTCGGCCCCCACCGCCATCCCCCGGGGCCCTGCAGCACCCATGTGTGCCACACGCCTGGCCGGGTCACCCGGCCTCCCTCCCGCATGGTTCCCCAAGGAGATGTGATGCCGTGTGCCCAGCTCTGCTAGGGACAGGACAGGACATCCAAGGTGCCTGCCCATCCCCTCCAAACGCTTCTCTCTCCATGCTCTGTCTCTTACCACTGCCTTGTCCCAGATGACAGACATGCGCTCCTCTATGCCGTTGGTCCCCTCGGGGATTGCTGTGAAGTTGTCTTTCCCAATTGCTTTCTGTGCAGTGCTGAACGTGCAGTGGGCACTTCCTGAGACCTGGAGGTCACCACTGAAGGGTGACGGCAACAAAAGCAGCATCAGTCATTTTGTTGGTAAAACAAGAGCCAAGACTCAACAGCCAAGCATTTGCACCAAGTGAAATGGAAAAATACCCAGAGTTGGAAAGGGTATTTCTGGCACGTTGTTGGGTTTTCCTGCCAGGGCAGCCTTCCCGCCACGTGGAGAAGGGTTCCTCTCCCACCTGAGCCTGTCCCCTAACGCAGCTCGTGCATCCCACGGGGCAGACTCGACCTCCCCCTCTCCAAGGGCTGCCGCGGGCTCCTGCACAGCTGCACTGTGCAGCAGCAGCAGTGCCTCCGGCTCCTCAGCGACACTCAGTGCCGCGAGCAGGGGGGCTGCGGTGCTGGGAAGGGACGTGGCGGCGCCGAGCGGCTCTGTGAAGCCGGGTTGCACAAGTGCGGAGCAGTAGCCCCAGAAGCGCTGCCCCGCGGGGCTGGCAGCGCTGCAGCCTCTCTCCCCATCACGGCCAGGAACCGCGACCCCATCCAGGCAGCCACTGCCGGCGAGGTGCCCCGTGGCAGGAGGCAGCCCCGGCGCGGCTCTCTCCAGGCTGCCCCGCCAGGCTTCCTGGCCCTTCCCAGCCGCTGCCTGGCAATGCTGTTTGTGAAGACTCCCTGCTGCCCGCACAGGGCTGCCGGGCAGCCGAGACCCTTTGGTCTCTCCCATTCCATGCAATGGCAGCAGGGGGCAGGAATGGCCAGTGGAGCAGGGCTGGAGCTGGCGCAGCGCTCTGGAGAGCCAGGGGACACACAGCAAAAGGGAAGACGCACGTGCTGGGCAAGAGAAGCGCGGCCCAGCCCAGGGCTCCCACAGCACCTGTGGGCGCTGCGAGGCAGCGCAACACGGACACAAAGACCCTGGGCTGTGAACCACTCCTAATCCACTGGTAATCTCTGTCTTCCTTTAATAATTTCTGCCATATGTCTGACTGACTGCGCAGCCCAAGACCTGGTCTATGACAGAACCTGCTTCCTAATCTCCAGATTTGTCCTTGTGCAAGAAAGCAGACAGCTGGATCCTCTCCACGTGTCGGAGCCCCACAGGAGATGACCCTGGAAAGGCGTCAGGACAGAGCATGGCACAGACACACGTGGGCTGCAGGCTCAGAAATGCTCGTCTCGCCTGTGGGGGTTGGGTTAAATCTAAGACTGAAGGGGACGTGAGGCCGAATAAGGCAGCTGGGGAGCCGGGCTCTCGCCTCCCCGCCCCCGTCCTTAAGGGCTGCACCTACCACACTCTTCCCAGCTGAGCGAAGGCTCGTGGGGCTCGTACACACACGTGACCCAGGGGACGTGGCACGTTCAGACCCCAAATGCACTCGTGCCTCTCGTGCCAGCCAGGACACTTTGCACACACGCAGCAACACCTCCCTTCCCAGCACAACCTAACTTGCCATTCTGCCAATATTGCTTTTACTGACTCGCCATCCCTTGTTCATCTAGTCAGAGATTTTTCTAGCATTAGCTCAAAGGTTATTTCCATTTACGACTGCCTCAGTGTCAGCTGTCCACGGGCTAACATGGCCCAGCTGCCACATGTGCAGTTCAGCAAGCAAGCACAGGGTGAAGGAGTTTGTGATCGCACCTGGCACGCGGATGCAGACGGCCACGGACTCTGCTCCCCGCTGCTGCGCACTCCTCAGCAGTGAGAGATGGGGTTACGAAGAGCTGCAGTGATTTTATTACTTCCTCTGTATTTTCAACAGATCCCTTCCCTACGCCTTGCCCCTAAGGGTGGAAAACACTCTACCATCCCTGTTGGATATGCACGAGCTGTCCTTAAAGGCCTTGCACACTCACAGGTGATACAACTGCTCACCTATATAAGTGAGAGAAAAATCTGCCTTTTATTCCACAGAGTGGATTCATGCAAGTTAGTGGATACCCTGCAACGTCCAGATCTTTTTCTGCACAGCTGCAACCCAAGCCCTTGCTCCCCATCCTGTTTCTGCGGAAGGGCTCCCCCAGCTCACAAGCAAACGCAGCAGCGCCTTGGTAGGGCAACCTTCCTTGGCAGTTCTTTGCACCTGCCTCTGTTTAGTAGCACAGGTCTTACCTGCCAAGATCAGAACAAATGCCCCATTACTGACAAATCTCCATTAGCTGGTCCTCATTTCCTTGTCTTCTTCTGGGTACTTAAATGGTTCATGACTACTGGCCCTAGTGCTTTTCTTGTTACCGATGTTTAATTTATGGTGCCTCCCCCTGTCATTTCATCAGGCAACTTATTAAATAATGTACAGTGAAGTGATGCAGACTGAAGTAACATCTAAGTTACCCAAATCCTCAATAACCTCTTCCTTCCCAAGGCCAAAGGCTTGCTCCTACCTTTCTAGTAGTATCAGTCGCCACAGTATCCCCTGCTGCCCAGGGGAACTTTTTGGTCCTCGCAGCCACCTACCTGGCCAGGAGGGAGTTGATGTAGTCGGGGGTTGTTGGGTCTGGGCTCAGGGGTGGCGAGATCACAAACGCCGCAGCCTTGGCCCAGTTCTTGCTCCAGTAGTGAGTCCCATCAGTCCCAAGACTAGCCGTGATTGGCTCGCCAAACACAACATTGCCTGAGAAAAGGGACAAAATGGATGTGGTTTCATCAGAATCCTGAGACTTCCTCCCTTCCAGGGTTATGCTCAGCACATGCCCAGAGGACCCCACCAGTCTGTCTTGCAGTATCTGCTTTGATTTGGGAGTCTATGAGGCCCACAGTGGTATCATGAGGAAGCCTTGCCCTCCACCACCACACACGCAGGCACCAGGGACCGTCCCAGGCCAGCAACTCCAGGGCGCAGAGTCTGCGCTGGTCTGGAGGAAGGACAGAGCGGGTAGACGGAGCCCGGAGAGCTGCTGTCCCCCGCAGCTACCACACAGGAGCAAGGGCAGCAGCGTGGCCTCCTGCAGGCCGCTCCATCCAGCCTTGGGCTGCCTTTGCACTGCCTGAGCCTGGAGGCCGCCTGGCCCCCTCCGCGCTGGGCTGCTCCAGCACCACAGCTCTGCAGCTTCACCCTGGCACTCTCCGCCCAGCAGCGACACAGCCACGTCTCAGAGCTGACACAGCACAGAAAGAGCTGGCAGGAGCCAGGTAACTCTAGTAAGTAACAGCTCTCAATAGAGGAGGCAGACACAGTGCTGCCTGACACCTAATCCACAGCAAGCCGATCGATAGTCAAAGCTCTCACAATGTCTTTCGTTGTCATCTCCTTCGACTCCTCCTTCCTTATCCCTTGTAAATATTTAGCAAGGGTGCCGGCTGGCTCCACTCTCCCTGATCCTGTTTCTCACTTGCACAGTGGTTCCTTTCAGGCACATCCTGGAGCCTGACTCCAGGGACAGGGCAGGGGAGAAGGCAGCAGCTGGTGACTGAGGGCTCTGCACACTAGGGCTCGTCACACTGATAAACTAGGGCGGGGACCACAAAATTGCGTTTCTTCTCAAGCTGTCTCTGGGTGCGTGTTTCTAGCTGCAATGCTTTGGGGATGCGTTTATCACTGGTTAGTCTCAGAGTTACCAGCTCCTCCAAGATCCTCTACACAAATACATTTTCTACACTTTCTTTGTCCCTCTGCAGAGGTTGCTCCAAGTCTCAGTGCCATTCAGAAGCTCCATAGCAGTTAGTGCAGGAGGGTAGAGAGCTCCTTTACTCCTCACCAGCTGAAACCCTAGTCCTGAAGAAGCCCACGTGGGCAGAAGGCTAAACTAGAACCGCTGCAGCCTCCCTTAGGCTCAGCTAGCCAAGTTGATGGCTTTTGCAAACCAGCCCCGAGCCACAACCCTGCTCATAAGCGTCTCACTCCCATGTGTGTTTCCTGCCAGGGCAGGAGTGAGGGACACGGGGAAGGCTGCTGCCACTCCTCACATCCAAGGTCCTGGCCAGAGAGAACAGCTTCCATCAGCCTCCTTGTGCACCAGCTCTCGGGCAGGAGAGGTGCAGACCTGCCTGCACATGCGGGAAGGGAGTCCCTGTGCTCCTGTGTCAGAGGGGCTCCCAGCCCCCCAGAGAGTCCCCCAGGCCTCCTCAAGAGCCACCACATGGAGCAGAGGTTGGGGCTGTACCCAGCAGCTCCAAGCATGTGCACGCGGGTGCGACGAGTCTCCTCGCATACAGCTCTCCTCTGCCACGGATTAACTTTGGTAATTGGAGCACCACCCTGCCCCACAACCCAGATCTGTGTTACCTGACACGACGACCAAAGCGGCTCCCCTGCCGTGGTATGGCTCCCCCCTCCCCAAGGGACAGGGGAATCCCAAACCGCCTGCAGCCCCCAGACGGCTTTCAAGGCACAGTCTCCTCGGCAGGAACAGGAGGGAGCAGCAGGAGGCCGTGCAGGGCCCCAGGGTGCCGGCAAGGCTATACACGGCAGCAGCCACTCACCTTTTTTCCTGGCTTGCGAGATGAGGTCAGCAGCACTTTTGCTCATCACTTTAGTCACGTACAGGGGGCAGTTGGTCTGGCTGGCAATAGTGATGGCCCGGAAGACAGCCTCTGCTTCCAGCTGGAAGAGACAAGAGCGCGTGGCTTGCACAAAAAGGACGGACTGGCAGGGAGGAGTCCCTGCTCATCTCAGCACACCATGGATTACATGGGACACCCTGTGCCCTCGTTATTATCCTCGCCACATGACCCTCCTCACAGTGTTGAACTCCCTTAGTATGATGCCAGGATCATTGGGCTGATCGGTGGAGTCTTGTTTGCTTCCTTGGAAACCCCTTGCTGCCCTCGAGGGTTGCCCCTTCCACAACACAAACGTTTACAGAAAAGACGCTTCACTCTGAAGATAAAACTCAGGCAGCCTTTTAATAGCATTTTAGCACTTGTTACAGTGAGGAATTCCCTCAAGGCAAGTTAATCAGGGAGGTTTGTGGGAGGAAAATTCAGTCTTCCTCGGGCCTGGCTCAAAGGCTCTTGGGGCATGAAGCCCCCACTGACAGGCTGTCGCACATGGCACTGGCACTCACGTGTCACAGCAAGGGTCACAGCAAGAGATTGCTACCTGGCTGCTCCTCCCTGGACCGTTCCAGTGCAACTGGCTCTCCTGGGGTTTTGCCTGTCCTAACTGAGCCTCATCCTGCGCACAGCTGGGGAAAACGGCTACATTCCAACAGGCCGCTCGTGGCATTCGCTCTGCCCCGCTGCTGGGCTGCTGGCTCCATAGCCTATTGCAACAGCCACTCCATGTGTCACTGTCTCACTCGCTGTTAGAGCCGCGTGGATTTTCAGCACACGGGATATCTTTGGAGTCTTACATCAGCCCTTGTTCAGCCTGAGCTCAACCCGAGGTTCTCCAAGTGTTTGCTCTACAGCTCGGCGTAAAGCTTTGGCATGAGAAAGTTCAAAACAGAAGCCTTAAAAAGACAATGTACCAATCAGCTAACTCCCTGGGGACACAGGCCTGCCAGCAGCAGGGCACGCAGTGAGCATTCCTGTGGGCCAGGCAGCTCGTTGTGCAACCTGCCCTCTCCCAGCAGCCAGAGCAACAGACCGCTGCACCCAGAACCACTACACACAGGCACTCGCTCTGCTTTGAAACTTGTAGGAGTCTACGGAGGCAACGTTCCTCAGCCTGGTTAAAAAGAGTTTTTCAACTTCTGCCTAAAAACATTAAGCAGAAATGCAAACAGTAAAGTACTTTTACCAGAGCACTTACGAGGTCGTGGAGCTGATGAGCTTTAACATGTGAACAGGAGCAAACACAGTCATTGCAACCAAAATGATTCCGCATTCTGTAGTGGCACCACCCTGCACTACCAAATCATCTCCAAGACAAGAGCGCATCTTTATCCCCACTCTGCCACAGTCACTCTACCACAGAGCTCACTAAAGCGCTGCCTCTTGCCACCTTCACATAGTTGGTTCAACCTACAGGCTTTATGGAGGCCGACAGTGTCACTGCACGTCAGTGCCATCTCATATTTTAATGTGTAGAGGGTGTTCTGGAACAGGGACACTGTATTTTCAAAGTTAATCAGATCCAGATTCGGCTGTGCAGATTCTATCTAGAGCCTTCTTGTACTGTTCTCAGATGCTTTGTGCTTTAATAGCATCTCAAGACAAACACTCACCAACCCTTTACTGGCTTTGGGCAAGAATCACAGAGCTGGCCTTACAGGACAGCTCTCAAATTTGGCACAATCCAGTTTCCCGTAATTGTGCATTAGCTTGCCAGCTAGCGGCAAAAGGTCTAGAGCCATGAAAATCAAGGTCAGTTTGCACACAGAGAGCATCTAGTCAACTATATTTTTCACTGGGTCTTTTCTCTGTACAGGAAAGTATGTTACTGTCTCATCCTTCACAGAGAATAAGCTCTGTATCACACTAGACTACATACACTGTTACCAGCCATAATACAATCATCTTCTCCTACTGTTCATTCAAGTCAACTGATTCTATTCCAGCACACCATGGAGCACAAGTCTGTCCCTGTGCTGCCCCGCTCAGAGCTTTGCTGTCGTACCAGTTCTCTATTGTTTCCTTCTTTCATGTGCTGTGGGAAGTTAAAAACAGTTCTGAGCAAGGAGCTATCTCAAGCTGACATTAAAAAAAAAAAAAAGCCCCACTAAAATTAGACTCAACCCACATTAATGAGCCAAACAGAAAAATACTCAGTGAATTAAAAATAGAAGTAATCTAATTAGTATCTTGACAATGATTTGTAACCAGGAAATTCCGTCTCTCCTTCCCTCCCACTCCTTCCTCCAATGGCTTTGTCTGTCTCATTTTAAAACACTTTAGACCCTAAGCAAAGATTGGTCAGGGGCAGGGTGGAACCTCTGTTTATGCTCCAAATGATGTGAACAGTGAATTTTTAGAGAGACTAACACTCAGCATTTGATTCTTCCCAGGCCTTTTGCACCAGTGGAATCACCTATAGCAAATGGATGCCCAATAACCAGACAGATGCTGCTACACCCATACCACATTTTTTACTGATTATTTAATCTCCTGAAGACTCTGAAGTCCTTGGCTCTGTCAGGACACTCAGGCAAAACTGAAAAACGTTCATCACCAAAGTGCATCTCTCTCTTTGCTGAGCTGGTGTGAACAAGGCAGGATTGCTTTGTAAATACTGAAAAATGGATATATAGGTATACATATAAACACACATATACACATGCACAACTACATGCACTTGCACACACAGAGCGCTGTTTGGCCCCAGTAAACTGCTATGACCTATGGAAAAGGGCTTCAGGCAATAAGGCTGGAACAGACTCCTGCATCTTACCTCCTCGGGTCTGCTCAGCACGTGGCCCTCCGGACCGGTTATTCCCATTTCCAACATCCTGGTTTGCTCCTGGATCATTGAAAGCACAGAGAGATGTTATAAGACTCTAACTCTAGCCACCATGCAGAAAAGCAGATCCACGGTTGCAAACAGTGCCCTAGGCCCACCCTCCCCTACAACCAGACGACCTCACACGTGCGGTGAGCTTTCTGAGAGGCCACAGGATCAAAGGAAACCACCAGAGAGGATGGGGAAACAGGAGAGCTTGGAGGGCTCCTGGACACTGACTAGAAGGTCCTTTACAAAATGAGCAGAGAATGGACAGAGAAAGACTCAAGACTCCCCAGCTTCATGAACAGTACTTGATACACCTCCTTTCCCAAGCCCTCCCTGGCTCCTCTTCCAAAAGTCAAGCAATCCAAGTAGAAATTACTAAGGACAAAAAAAGCCCTGATTGAAAAAAGCAGCTTCCAGGGCTGTGAAGTGCCAGCTCAGAGGTGTCTTGTGGGTAGACTGTTGAAATATCTAGCCAAGACCATTCCTTTGATCAGTCTTTGTTTTCATGTGAAACGGCCATCAGATTGGGCAGTGGAGTCCCAAAAAGTCCAAGGAACGTAGTCCGAAAGGATGTTCAAATACCAACCTCTTAATTCACACTCCTTCACTTCCCAAGAACAGGAAAAGAGACAACAAGAGATGAGTAGTTATGGAGCATAACTGAACTGTCTTCCCCAGGCCCAACAACCTGGTGTACTTGGACTTTATCTCGTCCAATACCATTTGCTACACAGTAGCCCAACACAACCTACCAATCTGAGCTCTCAATAGCATGTCTTCACAACAATTCCCTTACAAATCCAGCTCCATTAGCTGACTGCCTGCTTGGAGCAGGGGAAAATTCTTTTCTTGCTGCACCACTTTTCAAACACAGTTTAACTCTCTGAACTGACTGTGTGCAATGCAAAGGCCTTTGTTCCTCTGTATTGAAAAAGAGCTGCGGTTAGAGTGAACATACCATCCTCAATGGCCTGTTCTGTTCCACTAGGGCAACCGTGAATGCACCGCTTCAGCTTTTCTTACACTGAACTGAGCTGTCTACTAGATTTTGCATTTAGCAGGGGAACATAAATGAGCTTTGTTTCTATCCAGAAGTAAGTAAAATGTCTCTCGTTTATTGCCCAAAAGCTGCCACACAGTTCCTCTGAGCCTCACAGAAGCCAATATGAAAATATGAGATGTTCATCCAGATGGAAAATATTAATCTTTTCCTGATAGGGGCCAGAGCAGCTCTTGCTGGCGACAACATGCCTGGCACGAAAACAACCAGCCTCCACCCCAGGCTGGCATGGAGCAGTGTGCGGACAAAGGGCCGTTCCCACGCAGGACGAGTCTGGATCCGGCCTCCTGAGGACCTGCTGGACCCAAGGACCCACGCGGCCGGCGCTCTGCAGCTCAGCTCTGTCCCTGCACCCGTCTCTCCTCTCCAGGATAAAATGCTCAAAGGCCACAAGCAGTCGAAGGAATCAGATTTGAGGGAGCGACTGAGCCAATTTTAAGCAAAACTAGCAGAATGTTGCCGAAAACACACACTGTGGAGCAGCAATCGAGTGTCACCACCCTGCACCAGGGCTCGGTGCCCAGCACCAGCACAACTCCGTGCTGCTTGGAGGAAGCAGGAACACAGGTAAAGCAGAGGCAAGCAGTGAAAAGCAGGCAGCTAAACATGGCACTGGCTGCTGCTGTGAGAACTCACTGCAACCCGAGGGGAGGCAGCGCGCAGCCCCCGTGTCCGCCCCGCTCCCGCGTGCGCCCCGAGACAAGGTAGAGCTCTAGCGAGGAGGGGATGCTTCTCTTCCAAGACATGGGGCTTTCAGACCTCTTTTCTCACTCAATTCATTCGCAAAGCTGCAAAAGCTTTATGAAAGAGAAACAACATTCCAAATGTTCTTTATAAGCTATTTATTTAGGCAGCTGTTTTTTTTATTTCCTGTATTCTGGCACAAAATTTCTGCCTGTTCCAACATGATGCTGCTTAATAAATTAATATCTTACAACTTTTTTTTTTTAAGTGACGATTTCGTTTTCAGAATCTCTCTTTTGATTCTCTGAATCAAAAAAAAATAAAGGAAATTAAGGCTAAATTAAGGTTTCATTTCCTACTGATGTGCAAGGAGCAACTTGGATAGTTTGAAAAAAGAAAAAAAAAAAAAGAGAAACCTATTTCACTTTTGGATTTTCATTTAGCAAGGGAAAAAAGAGTGGGTGGTATCTGTTCTGGGCTCACCTGTAAAAGCCTGTCTTAACAACTCCACAAGAAACCGTCTACTTAAAGAGAATTACTGCCAACATGTTTTTTTTTTTTAATTTTAAAAGTCATAGAAGTGTTTTAATTGATCTTCAGCTTCATTGAACTTTTAAGTTGAAAATGCTTAGCTGTATCTGATATCCCTGATATCTGATTATTTCATTTTGTTCCATCTTTAATAAAAAAAAAAAACATGTTGGTGATAACAGAAGAATCATATGCTCCGAAACATGTGTGCTTCTGATTTCTTTAGGTTGTGTGTTGTGAGCTTTCTATATTATGAGCTTAAATGTCGTGCAACCTCCTTACCACGGTTCCCACCAGATATTTCACAGCAGAAAATGTTGGTTAATCCAATATCACTGTCAAGCAGCATCAAAGAGATCATCTTTCAAAAGATGCCCATGCAGCTTTAGTGTCATTTGCTAACATACTGCATCAGATCTGTCTGCCTGGGCTAGATTTTCAGTACCTGCATAACCAGAATAGCAATTACCTGTGCAATGATATCTCCATTTTCAGCATGAACTTGAGCTATGGCACCCAGCTCTCCCAGGCAGCTGAATATCTCATACAGCTAAAACAGAGATAAGAAAAAATATTACTACACAGGCACATTCCCCTGGCTTGTGCGAGGCCTAAAAGATCCCCAGAATGCATCTTTCAACAGAAAAACGTGGCAGCCGCAGTGGAGCAGGGGGGTTCAGCGTCCCGCTCCCTGGCCATGCCAGGTGGTGCTCTCAGAAAGCTGCCTGCACCCACAGAGGCTCTCCACAGTCCCAGCTCCAGCTCTCCTTGCCATCTTCGTGGGAAGTTCGGTCTCAGCTCTGCATGCGGCTGCTAGACTGGACTCGCCGCTGTGCAGGGAGTCCAAGGGCCACACGTCCGAAGAGAGCAGGGATAAAGAACAGTGGCTGCAAGGCCCCTGCGAAAGCTGCGTGGACTGAATCTCTATGTTACAATTACCCAGTATTAGGATTACTTTTCCAGCTACTGCTCTACCAAAACAAAACCAAGGTGGCAATGAAGCTCCTACCTCTGTGTTTGACATCTGGTACAAATCCTTGTAGGCCATATAAACCATGAAGGAGTTAACTCCTATGGGACAAACAGAGAAGAGAAAAAAAGTGAGCTGAAGAATTGAGTGCTCTCTCTCTCTCTCTCTCCCCCCAAATACATCCAAAGCATGTGAGAATTACTCAGACCTAATGGAATGGGAGCCTTTGGCAAGAGCGGGAGGTCAAGCAGAAGGTTGTCTGTTTTGGTTTGCTTTCCCTGTTAGTTTATCTTCAGGACACTCGCTTTCCATGCAGGATCCCAGCAGATATTCAAAAACAAGAGGACAAAAGAAAGCAAAACCACTACTTGCTACTGGGCTGCAGCAGTCTCAGCCCATTAAGAGCAGAGAGCCCACAGTGGGTCCCTGCAAGAAGGGACTGATGTGGACAGTTACGAGCAGAAGACACTTGGAACAGTGGGCTTTTCCCTGGATGAGCACAGTCCCACATACTTGTGCTTTCTTTACGTACAGTACCTTTGTGCTGAGGCTCCTAAGCAGGACTTGTGCTCACCAGCAATCTGAGCTCTGAGATTTTCCAAAGCACTTCCATGCCCAATTTTTGTGAAATTCATTCATACAATGCCAAGAATTCTGATGTTTTGCAACAGTATTTTGACTTTTCTCCCCAGGAGCGCACGGCACCTCACAAGCACCATCAAACAGCCTTCCCCTCCCTGCACGCAGGCCATTCCTGCAGTTAACAGGTGACAAGGAAGCTGCAGCGCGGGGGGAAGAGGATGGCCACGAGCCACGGGGGGACAGCAGCAAACCTTTCTCCTTGGCCATGGTCTGCACTTCCTGCCTGACGCTGTCGTTCCAGTGCGTGATGTCCACGTGCAGGGAGTAGTCGCAGCAGGCCTTGCCATCCGCCCACTCCCGCCACTTCTCGTAGGCGTCCGCCAGGCTGGACTCAGGCTCCGGGAACACGTGGTCCACTGCAGCGGGCAGAGCAGAGGGGTCAGCCTGTCCCCATGCACAGCTGCTGCCTGCCCCAAACCCTGAGGCTCCCCCACGGCCCTGAGGCTGCTTTCTGAGCTGCACACATTACGGGAGGAAGAAAACATCGCACCACCCTTGAAGAGCTCCCCTGCCACCTCCAGGATTTGCTTGGCCTCTCCTAAGTGCATTATCGGAAACGAAAGGCTCCGTGCATTTCCTTAACAGCCCTTGGCACAGAACCAGGGGCTTTTACAGGCTACTGCTGAGAAATCAGCTGAAAGCTGAAGGGCCTTGTCCTTCCTCACCCATACTTCCATCCTATTAAAACATAATGCTCTCCCTTACTGCAACACTAATGCACTGTTTATTGCCCATGATGTAATCCTCACACCTTGCCGCAGTCCATTTTACACAACTGTTTTCTTTTTTTGGCCCACTGGAGAAGGAGAAACAGTGAGGAGAGGGCAAGAACTCATTTCTCTACTGAGAATATCAACAGTTGCTCTTGCAGCACCTGGAACTCTGCAAAGTGCAGACAGCTGTGACTACTGCAGGGGCGGTGAAACCCAGACGGTAACACATCTGTGGTTTTCCCTGGGGAATAACCTAGAATTCCCTTTCCTTTTTTTAGTTAGCACTGTTTGTTTCTCTTGAGTGGTGCAGGATACCGGGGCATTGCTCTGTTCCTCTGCTTGGAGTCATCTGAGCACGCTGCCCTATTTTTGTTCAATAGAAAAAATATATATTATGTCAGTGTTCTTTTCTGAAGCTCTCAGGGGCATCAGACACTGGAACACTGCAGGATGCAGGATCTAAAGTTGGGCAAAGAGCCCGACACAAATCTCTTTCCCCAGTACTTTAGTAGCACTGAAGAGTCTCCAAAACACATCCCGCTCCTCATTCTCTAGTCTACAGAGAAATGAATTTCAAAACCTTGCAAATGGAGGCATACTATACTTGCTGCTACACTGAACAGAGATCACTGAAAAGATGAGCATACTCTCAGGGATCTTTAAAATAAACAACACCAAGAAAAGCAATCAGAAAAAGAAAGAACTGAGCAACATTTCAGGAGCGCAACACCACCAACAAAAAAACTTAAGATGAGGAGTTCCATTTGGATTGGGATTTTATTGCAAATGCCTTCCCCAGATCAAAACAGAGTCATGTCTGAAATGCAGTGCAAAAAGTAATCGTGTGAGGGCTAATGGACACAATTTCCAGCACCGTTATTCTGATGTATATCCTGTCTCCCTCGCCAGGCGCCACTCTGGTAAGGGAGCAAAATCTGGACCTTCGTTCCTGCACCTCTCCAAGGCATCTTGCCCTGCTCTGCACCCTGTGGTTACTGTTACCCAGTACTGAAGCAGAAGAGGGCCAATGCACTGAGCTTTCATGTCTGAGTAGCCAAAAGGTATGTTTTATCCATTGGCAATAAGATTTACCTTCAGGTCCTACCTCTTTACTGCAGATGGATGAAAAGATACCAGCATTTTGCTCCAGCCAGGCCTGCCCTGCAGGTCTGCAAAAGCAAGGGCTGCACTCTTGGTTGCATTTCTTCTTTCAAACCCTTTCCCGTCAGAGACGCCAGCAAGACAGGGAGCAAAATGGGCTGTGTTGGTAAGGAGAGCAAGCACCCTCGACTGGGTCTCTGCATGAGATGGCTCTCAGCTCCCAGCCATTCTCTTGAAAGTTTGTAAGTACCAGAGGGGCTACCCTTCTCAACCCCTCTCTCAGTTTTTCACAAATCTCAGCTATGCTTCGTTCCCAATTGCTTGTGACATGTGTCTCCTCTGTAGAGTCAGAACGACAGCCACCTGTCAAGAATCCTCTCGAGCATCTTTCTCCTTCGTCCAAACTTACCCTCTAACTCTTTCTTACCCATTGCCATCTCTGTCCATTTCTGCTGCCCCAAGCAGAAGCCCAACACCCTCTCTTGGACTCTACTCTCTTTCTCTTCAACTTCTTGAAATGATTGTGAAAAAAAAAAAAAACTGCACAAAGCTTAGATGTCAACATCAAACAGGCTCCATGCAAATTTAGGGTGCTGAATGCCGCAGTGCTTTAACTGCCCTTGAAACACAACAGCCCACAGGGTTTGCCAAAAAGAGCCTGCCTGCTGCACTCACTGATCATAGTAGTTCCACCAGCCAGGGCCGCTTTTGTTCCTTGGAAGAAATCGTCCACAGCTGTCATCCCCTTGTACGGCATCTGCAGGTGAGTGTGGACATCAATTCCTCCAGGAATCACCATCTTCCCATTGGCTTCTATGGTTTTGACCCCTCCAGGAACAATCAGATTGTCTCCGATTTGCCTGATGAGATCACATCAAGATGGTAAGTCACGGGCAAAGGAAAACCAGTCACAACATGATCAAGCAACAGTTTAGCTAGGGAGCAGCCAGGGCCAAGCCCCTCTCCCCATGGGAAATGCCCGTCTTCTGCCCATTCCCATACCTGGGCTTGCAGGCATCAACCGAGTAAAGACACTGTACAGCAAAACGCAGGATCCTGTTGCCTGCTTAAAACTACAATTTGCATAGTCTGGGGCAGGCTGCCATCTGTCAAACTTCCTTAGTGGTGTCTGTGATGGCACCTGCTGTCTAGGACAGGCGTTGGGTTGGGGTGGCTGGGTGTGTGATCTCATGATTTCTGCAGTGCAACTTCCTAGGACACTTCACGCTCCACTGACTTAAGAGTCAGAAATCCCCAGTTTTACCAGTGATTTTGAAGGAGAAGCTCTGAGGACTGAGTAATAGTTCTACCTGTTTGCCCAGGGCTGATGCTCATGAAAACCCTCGCATCAGCTCTGCTTCCAGTAAACAGCACCCCTAATCTCTCCTCTCCCCGGCCTTCTGCCCACCTTAAGAAAGGCTCAAGCCTGAGGCTTACGTACAGAGGAGGATGATTTCCCAGCCTAATGCTATGGCTGCCAGGCCAGCCCAGGGCCTGCCAGGGTTTGCAACTCCGGCTCTGGGGAGCTGACAAGAGCTTCTCCACGTGCAGGAGCATCGCTGACCGCCACAGCTAGGGGCTTAACCTGGACGGGCTGGGCTCGCCCTCGTCCAGAAAAGCGGAGCGCCTCCTTCCCGCTCCAGGACCTCCCCTTCATGGTCTGGCCTTCATGCACCTGAAGGGCCACTTTGCTATCAGCAGGGCCATGTGGTAGCGAAGGCACCTGAAACCCTAAATATCTAGCAATATCTTCTAAGAACAGGAAACCTGAAGTATTGCAGAATATATGTACTGGTAACTTAAAATACTCCTATTTACACTCCCCTGAAGTTTGTCATGTCCTCCACGTGACATTCTCCTCCCTGGACATATCCAGTTCTCCTGCTGGCCAGGTCCCTGGAATCTCAGAACTCCCTTTGCTCAAACCCCCCCCACACTTCAATCCTTTTATCTGCCCATATGCAGTGCTCAGCCTTCAAATCACTTCTTTCAGAAATCCTATTTTCATCAAGCCTTTCTCAGTCTTTCTTGATACATCAAGATAAAAAACAGACTGGTTTTATGGGAATTTCGGATTTCCCTGGCACATCAGGGAGGTAAATGTGGAAACGTAGTATATTCCTTATTTCATTCCACCTTAGCCAATTCACGTTTTTTTTCCCCTAGAACATCAAACATTCAGTAGACAGAACTGCTTGCTGTAATGTTTTTGTGGCCATAAAACCTGACTTCTTTGCACCTTTTCTATTAAGATGATTCCATCAGCAAATGATTCAAACTGCTCACTGCACCCTTACAAGAATTCCCAGGTGAGTATATTTCACCTCCAAGGCAGACTACATCTACTACTACCAAAAAATAATCATTCACCTGAAGCTGAGCTAATGGGAGATGGGGACAATACGCTATGTACATCTCATACTTACTTTATGAGACCATCTTCCATGTAAATATCAGCATAGAATGACTGATCATCATTGACTATTCTCCCTCCTTTAATAAGGAGACGATCACTCTGTGAAAGGTAAAAAACAAAGTAGTCATCAGTACCAGGCAATGCATGCAGCTCATGCATTCCTTACCTGCTGGTGCTGCACTCTTCCTGGGAGCTCCCCAGTGGCACCAGGCAGCTCACCCCAGCAGCGGTACTGCCGAGAGTTCACATCTCTACTCAGAGAACATCAGGAAGGACCAGGATTGAAGAAAATATATTCACAGGGCTGTGTCTGTGTGAAACAGGTGTTGCCAGGAACACCACAGAGGTGGAATGAATATAAAGGGGAAGCTTTGAGAACTCAGCGAAAATGTTTCTCTAACATCCACAGACAGAAGTCAAAAGCTTCCTAGACCAGGTCATTAGGCACATAATTCTGCAGGCAGCAGAAGCCACGCACCAGTGTTTAGAGCAAGTGCATTATCAGGTGCACTCTATGTCTTTAAGTCTTACCCAAATATCATACAAAGTAAACTTTGTAAAATATTAAAAAACATAATTTATCTCTCTCTCAGCTGTTAACACCTTGCAAAGAGCACTAACAGCACAGACACTGACGGGCAGCCCTGAAGACGATGTCTCTGTTGCTGGGATCCCTCCCTCTCATACAGGCTCAGAGCACTCCCTCCAGGATGACGTTGTTTCAGAGCTTCACAGTGATGCGAGGAGCAGCGAGCCATGTTCCTGCTTCAGCACTTGGTCCTTCCTCTGTTCTCCTGCCTAACAAGGTGAAGGACCAGCAGCTTCCTCCAAAGCAGCGCAGCCTGCCTGCCCGCTGACCCGAGGCCAAGGAGGGGCATCGAGCTGGAGTCATTCTTGCCTCTCTTCTTGTGCCCAGGCGTTTGGATCTGGGCAACCCAGCATTAACTGATGGGGTAAAAACAGCAGATCTCAGGCAAAGTCAGACCTGAGGCCTCGTTTGGAAATATCAAATCATTTCAGCAATTTTCAACCTTTGAGAATAAATGAATTACTAAATGCATGTTTGAGGCAGGGCTTTCATAGGCTTTGCACATATCTGTTATGGCTAAAAGTCTTTTTAAAACAAGATGTCTAATATTGCTCAGTTTCCTTTGGACTAATTTACTACACTAGCACAGGCAGCAGAGAAACAGTAAAGGTACAACATACAAAGCTGAGGGGTCTCCGCTAGGATAGAAGGATGGATCTGACTTCGGTGCAGCACATGGAACAACTGGGATAAAACTCGGGAGGTGGGATGTGAGCTGTGAATCAGCCACCCCAACAGAGGAGAACCGCCTGACTCCAGAGCACTCCCTGGGGGAGCGACACGGCTGGGCAGGATGCACGCGGGTGGATTAGCCGAGAGCTCCCTACAGCACCAACCTGCAACCCGCACGGCTTGCATGGGACGCTGCCAGGGCCAAGACAAGGGGAATTTGAAGGCTGGGAACCCTCCTCTGTGCTGGTATGAGAACCAGCTGCAGGCAGCACGGGTGCATGCAGCCTGAGCTCTCATGTGCCTGCCGGGATGCTCAGAGCATGAGCTAGCTATTTTTCCCCTTTCAGAGAATACACAATCTTTCCAATCATTTGTTACACCATTCCTAGAGCTTCCGAGCTCCCCTGTTTTCCTTTCAGCTCCCTCAGTGCCTGCAGCCTCAGCTTTGGCATCTGTGGGTGGTGCAAGTCCCCTTCCACAGCCAGATCTGGACCTAGGAGACTGCAGCAGGACTCTCCCAGCAGGCTCGCGCCGTGAATGCTCCTGCACAATTAATTCCTCTGCAGGGAACTGGGTTTGCTCTTTATCCACTGCCCTGGGGGTGAATTATGGAGATATCACCATAGCAATGGCAATTTGCTGGCAATAGTAGGGTGTGAGAGAATCCCCCTATGTCACTGCAGCTTGTAACAAGGAAAGCCGGGAGATCTGGGTGTGTTTTCACAGCGCACTCATTCATTTACTGCAAGACAAAGGAAATGGGTGGGGAAGGGCCTGGAAGGAGCTGTGCTCTTAACCTGGCCTGCATCTCGGTGCCAGCGCAGAAGAAAGAGTACTCAGGAATCACCCCCAGCCTGTCCTATCCAGCACACAGGGGATTCTCTGCCCTTATGCAATAAGCAGAGCCCCAGCCATGGAAGTGGAAGCCTGGTGCTGGCCTTCCCCACTCAGCACTTACCTTCCCACCAGGGAAAACAACAGCTAAAGCTGCCACCCTCTTCCTGCCCTGTCCTGCACAGACAGACCCACACCAGAGTCCAGGCGTCACGCGAGGGATCTGGCAGAGCCAGCTTGCGTCCCGGGACAGCTCTGGGAACAGGGACACGCAGCTGGCTGCAGAGCTCCCCATGCAGCTCCCAAGAGCACCTCTCACAGGACACAGCCCCTGCGAAGGTACCAGCCCCAACTAGACACTGACTAATCATCAGCACCTTCCGTTGCATGCGGTGTCCTAAGGCACAGCAAGGGCAGGGGCACAGCGTTCTGGTTTAGAGCAGCTCTCAGATGCGCCCGTTTACAGAGCCAGGGACGCCCCAGGACCCTGAACCATCCCAGAATGGAAACGCATGTTGTTAACAAGCCACTTTTAATCCTGCTCCTCAGCACAAGGTCCTTAGGGGTCCCTTTGCTGTGCCTCTATCCAAATGTCATCTCACGAATAACGATGTCATTTTAAGTTCAGAAAATTCTACAAGTCTGAAGTGCAACTGCAGCCAGTTACGTATGGACTGTAAATCACAGGAGGAAGACAACTAAGCCACAGCTTTTACGGATGCAAGAGAGCAGCGTTTAAGCAGCCCTGCAAGAAACGTAGACCATGCAACAGTAATAACAGTAACAGGAATAATCCTTCTCCAAAAGCCTCCTACTGACAACCATGGATGAACTCCGTTCCCAAGAATACATGATCCATGTGTCAGTTTAAGCGTGTGAGCGCTCTCCTCTCACCTCTGCCCACACTTGTCTCATCTGATGGTGCCCAAGTTCTCCAAGGCACGGCACATCCTGACACACACCAGGAGCTTCCACAGTGAGATCCAGCTTTGCATTTAGTCATTTGCCAGAAATAAATAGCATAAACGGCCCTTTGAGCTAGACTATCTGAATTCCCCATGCCAGGGCTCAATCTGTCCATAGAAACTCAGAGGTCGGTCTCGGATTCACTGGAAGTCCGTGTAATAAAGCTTCACGCTATCACTCGTTAGTAGGGAGCGACAGGAAAGGGCACTCAGTCCTGCTCCAATAGGCCCCTAATCAGACGCTTGCAACCTCCAGGTCCCACTGAGACCTCTGGCAGAGCCCTGGGACCGGCGTCGCGAGCGCAGAGAAGCCCTGAACCGGGCTGCACACAGGGCACTGCTGCCATGCGGCCCACGGCGCTGTGCTGGACACAAACAGCTACCCGCAGCACGCGGGCACGGCGTGGCAGCAGTCCAGTGTCCTCCAAACCAAAGAATCCTGCAGGTAGTGGGAAAAAGTGGTGTGTTTGCTACATAGCTCATAAGAGCATTTTGCAAAAGAGATAGAACAAAAATAGGCACTTAGAAAAAACAATCGCATATTCTTCTGGCTGAGTTTTACACAACTGTATTTTGAGTATTTGTTACTTTCGTTTGTTTGTTTGTTAAGGAGGACAACTTTTACAAAACATAATCCAGAGAGAACTTCTTTATGAGATTGTGCATTTCATTTTTGAGTGTAGCCAAGACTACATTCTGCAGCACCGCACACAGTGCACAGCCGCCTTGGGCTGGGGCGTGAGATCCAGACACCAACACCTGCTAGGTTTATTTCACAGCCCAGTGAGACAAAGAGAAGCAGAAAAATCAGGAGAAAAGAAATGTCACTTGTGCATTTCTGCTCGAGTTGATCCTCAAGGCTTAGCCCTCCCAGGCCTCACTGCCAGGTGCTCCTTCCTTAGCCATGGCAAATCAGGGCCATGGTTAGGAAGGCAGAGAAGACAGCCCTGGTTTTATTCCAGTCAAGGCACACAAAACCTTCCCGCTGCATCCGTACAGCCCACACCACAGCAGACCCTCTTCGGCTTTACCAAGCCCACCAAAGCAGGAAAATTAGGGTCTCGCTGCCCAGATCCCACAGGCTGACAGGGCTCTATTTCCTGACTCACGCCTACCTCACAAGCCTCACCTGCCCAGACAGCCCTTGGAGAAGTGGCAGGTGCTGGTGATGCTGCCTCTGCAACCCCTCTGTGGTACCTCGGAGCAGGGGAAGCAAAGGGCAATGGCAGAAGTAGCACAGGGAGCCGGGGCGGGTGACAATTACTGCATAAACTGTCAGTATTAACCAAGCAAACATGCCTGTGCTCAAACACAAATAGCCCTTCTGTATTAGGTACAGTGCTAACTCTGTGTGTATACAAATTAAACTGGTAGGTTCATTATGGCTGGAGCATGAACGAGACCTTCATTCAAGGGGTCAGACTCCATCCCATGGTCCTCCCTGAATCCGGCTGCCAGACGCTCCCCTCTGTTCATACAGGGAGAGAAGGGCTGCATTAGCTCCTGTCCATTAAATGCAATGAAAAAAAGCAAAATAAAATCGTAATGAAATCACATCTACAGGCTCTGGCTGTGTCCAAGGATGTATCTAGAAGGGGGAGGAGGAGCAAGGAAGTGAACAAAACGGTTGCAAGGCCCGACTTAACAGGCAGGCTCATGCAGCACGTCCCCGGAGCAGCCACCAGGGGCACTGCCCCGCGAGCCGTGCCAGGAGCGCCCCCAGCCCCGCTCCGCCGGCCCTGCCGGGGCCGCCACAGCCCCAGCCCCCGGGCAGCACCCTGTGCTCAACCTCCTCTGCTCCTCTTCCCGCTGGCAGTGGGCATGAGTTACAAGAAGCTTTCAAAACCAGTACCCATTCCCCCCTGCCCACCCTGTGCTCCTGCTGCTTCCAAGCATCATCTGATCATTTGAGACCCTAAAACATCAGGGGGATTCTAAATGCTTTTCCATGTGAAGCTCACAGCAAAGGGAAGGGGAGGCAGCAGCTTGCAGCAGCAGCCGAGTCCAGCCAAGAACAGCGCTCCCTTATTTGCAAGGCA